TAGCGGGTTGAAAGCGCACGCATAGCTGGGTCAACGGCTACCAACGAGGGGGGTCGTATCTGGCCCACGGGAAAGAGGGAGGGTTGAGCGCGATGGTTAGCCGTGGAAATCTCGACGAAAATGAATTCAAATGTTGCAGCTCTGGCGAAGGCTAAATAAAGAAAAGTGCGGCACAGGTCAGTATTTTGCTAACAAGATTGATTGAGAGCATCTGAAGGCTATCTTGCAGCTCTACATATTGCCAAGGAAAGAAAAATGGCTCACTGTTCCCCATTCTTCTGCTTAACACGAGGAATGAAGATGCTACCAAGAGACGACACTATGTTAAAGCAAGTAGTGGAGAAAAAGTGAAACTGCGCCATAGTTGGGCACCCTATTTAACCTTTCCCACGGAGAGGACGGCATCGACGGTACCAACAAAGAATAACGTGGACGTAACACCTTTCACAGTGGTTATCAACCTGAGGGGAGACGAGTGCATGGCGCTCACCAGAATGTTCATCGGTTCTAAATGCATTAGGTTGGGTTCATTGCGACGAGAACGTGTGTTCCGAGTCCACCTTCTGAGGCTTCTAAAGTAAACACGAGAGCAAGGAAGTGCTGCGTTATGAAACGATCGATTTCCCATGGTTCTCTCATTCATCGGTAGAAAAAAAAACTTCCCAACGAAACGAGTTTGCAGTGCAACCTTTCAGGACAACTTTAGTGCATTTTGAATGCAAGTCGTATTTTTTCGTTACCGCCCACAGATTTGCATGAGAATGAATTTGAAGTACGCCATGACCAGTGAAAAGCTGAAAGGTTGCGTGCTCATGGAGAGCTGCTCAACTTGCTCAGAAACACCGTGAGAGGCTCAGCAAAAAACCGCCACAAAAAGAAGCACAGTAGCGCAGAAAGCAAGTGCAGCTTCTTCAATCGCTGGTCTACGCCTCTTTGGTTCCAACGTGTTTTGAGCATGGTCACTGGACGAGAAAAATATACATCCTCCTGAAGTCTGGATCGTTTCATCCACAAATTTCCAATGTTTCCAATATATAGTGATAATTTTGATATGTTAGAGAGCAAAGGAGGGCGCTCATGTTGGTGGGGGGGCACTTAGTGAGTGAGCCGATTGCTGTGCTTGGGACTAAGCCTTAGGTATGTAGGAGAATGTATTCCGGGGAGGACGACAGCAATGTCGTTGACCCTAGCGTTTCTCACCTTAAGTGGGCTTATTTCTAGTGTCACTACATTC